TTGGTTCTCTCTCTCTCTCTCCTCTCTCTCATCTCTCTCTCTCTCTCTCTCTCTCTCTCTCTCTCTCTCTCTTTCTCGCGCTCTCTCTATCCCCTTATCTCTCTCTTCGCGCTCTCTCTCTCTCTCCCTCTTTCGTCGCTCTCTTCTCCCCTCTCTCTACTCTCTCGCCTCTCTCTCTCTCTCTTTTTCTTTTTTTCTCACGCTTGGTCTAATTCTTCTCTCCGACAGTTGATGGGACGGCGTACCCTTCAGCTCAGGCCGCCGCACGCCGGCGCACGACCACCGCCCCCGGCGCCATGATTCCGGCGGCGGATGAGCAACTCGCTCGACGTCGGCCGGCGACCCCTGGCGGCGGGCGGGACGTCGCGGCGACACCACCGGCGAAAGAAGTCAGCGAACGCCTTCGTCGGTGAACAAGTGCGAAGAACAACGTTCTGACGGCACTCGGACGCCGCAACACGTACGTGTACGGCGAGAGCAAGACGTCGGGCGGAGGGAAGGTCAACGGCAAGCAGCGCGACGATGACAAGTACGTTATGGGGGAGGCGCCATGCGCGCACGTGTGGGGGGAGAGGCAGAAAGAGGAGGGTGATCGAGTAGTAATACTAGTATACAGGGTTTACTCTACCACTTGCCAAAATAGCCAATTGCTACACTTTTGTTGTACTGGCTACAAAAACTGGCAAAAACATTACTGGCTAGCTTTTTGGCTAATACACATTTGAAACATACCGACACAAATTACTAAAATCAACATTTCATTAATTGTTTTGATTCTCTGTATTTTGTTCAAGTAGCTAATTTGAAATTACGTGGGCAAAAAATTCCTACAAATTATTAACAGTGGCCACAAAAACATCAATTGGCTATTTTTTTGGCTACAATTTTCAATTTCACAGAGTAACCCCCGGGTAGCTTAGGAGATTTCGCACCTGCTGGCCACGAGAGCTAGCGTTGGGCCCCGTCGATGGACCGACGGTCGTGCCAGGCCGCCTCGCGCTGCCGTATGCTGTAGATGGCACTGTATACAAACAAGAGAACAGGGGAATCAGAGTTAGTAATGTTGCGTAAATTGCGCGACCAACACATATGTTACACGAGTGGGTACTCAACATTTGAAAGAACTCAAACTTGATTAAAGAAACAATTTAATAATTAATTTAATCAAATATATTCAATTTTTTTTTAATTTAATCATTTTTAATTAATTTTTTCTTACTAATTAACTTTTATAATTAACTTTATTAAAGAAGAAGGGAATCAGAGATGGTACTGCTGCGTTCGTCGCGCGACCAACACATTTGTTACACAAGAGGTTTTCGAACTCGACATGTAGAAGAACTTAAATTAAAGAAACTCGATCGTATACAATACGAGTGAAGGATAACGTGTTGATAGATAAAGATTTTATTTATTGATTGTTTCATATATTTATCATTTGTACAGTTTACTATGTAGTTTCCCTAGCATCACGTAAGCATCACGACAGATCTTGAATCATCTTGATAACGTAAAACGTGTATCGTGCCGCATCGTCCCACCCCTGGACTGACCCTCACCCCCCGCCCCCACCCCCCGACGCTCACCTCGCGAGGAGTCGGTCCCGCCCTCAGTCAGGCTGGTGCGCCGAGCCGGCTTCGCCTGGTTGGTCGTGGAGGAGCTTCGATGAACCTTGTGTGGGGAGTGCGACGCGGGGCCCTGCGAGGATGGCTGAGCCAGCGACACACTGCTACCCGACCGCGACTCCACGCCGTCCCACTGTAACACACGCGCACGCAGGTAGGTAAGTACGTCGTTAAGCTACGGTACAGGTAAGTACGTCGTTAAGCTACGGTACAGGTAAGGTAAACGTTAGTAGTGGTTATGACTAGTTGTGTGGGGAGTGCGACGCGGGGCCCTGCGAGGCGGGCTGAGCCAGCGACACACTGCTACCCTACCGCGACTCCACGCCGTCCCACTGTCGACTGTAACACACGATCGATCAGTAGAAAGTTCAGTGATAGATCAGTAAAAACTTTAGTAGAGGTAGTGGTTATTAGTTAGTGTAGGTCTGTGTATCGAAGTAGGTAGGTGTGTCGGTCCATCCATCATTCCATCCATCCATCCATCCATCCATCCATCCATGCATCCATCCATTCATCCATCCTTGCATCCATCCATCCATTAATCCATCCATTTATCCATCCATCCATCAATACAACCACCCACCCACCCACCAACCCGTCCATCCACCCATCCATCCACCCACCCATTCTAGCACCCAGCTAGCAATTCCACGATCCACACGTCCATCCACCCCTCGACACCGTCTCCCCACGCTTCTCACGCGCATCACCGCAGCATCCCGCGTGTCCGACGGGTGAGCAGTGGGTGACTCTCACCTCCGTCGTCTTGCGGCCGAGAAGCAGGTACATGGCCATGATCTCGTCGAATTTCCTATCCTTGAGCGAGTCCTCGACCTCTTTCCGCACGTAACCCATTGATATTTGTAGCTCTGTAACGCGAGCGAAACACAAACATGAACATCTCATGTGCGGCGCGCGTAATGCTAGATGGCAAAAAAGCTTTTCTACGATTTCTGCTGTAACAGAAGAAGTTTGTTAGTTCTCGTAAGGGCGCGTTCACAAATGACGTCACCTCGATTTTGGACTTTTTTGACCCCATCCACCCTCTGTCACCAAGTGTCACTTTCAAGGAACCCCTCCCCTTCATGGTGACGTCACCATTCTTGGCAGACCCCCCTCAAAATCGCAAACAAAGTTTGATGATTTGTTGAACTCGTCAGCCATTTAAATTTTCATATTCTACACAATGACTTGTCACCTCTACTTGCTTCCTAATTGGTCTAAACTGTTTATATGTTTACCAAATCAAAACATTCCTATATGTATCATATTGAACACTCCACGAAAATAATATATCTTGGTGGCGTCACTTGATGAAACCCCCCTCTCCCCTGTCACCATGTGTCACTTTTTGCAAACCCCTTCCCCCCTCGAGAGGTGACGTCATTTGTGAACACTCACCAAGGCTGGACAACACTGGATCACAGCATGGAAGTTATAGGGTATGGCGGTGATTATTTCCTTGAGAGAAGGAGGCAGCGAGGCTTGACGTTTCTGATGAATGCATTTCATCTTGCACCAGAGAGTGGGAGCTAATAGGGTGAAATAGGGTAGCTAATAAAGTAAAATATGGTAGCTAATAGGGTAGCTAATACGGTAAAATAGGGGAGCTAATATGGTGAAATAGGGTAGCTAATAGGGTGAAATAGGATAGCTAATAAGGTAGCTAATAGGGTGAAATAGGGTAAAATAGGGTAGCTAATAGGGTGAAATAGGGTAGCTAATAGGGTATCTGGACTGATTCCACTGTGTGAGAGAGAGAATGCACGCGTCACACTAACGCTCTCGCGTCTGCACCCACCTATCCGCCGCTGGTCGGCAAAGTCCTGCGCCGGCTCCTGATATGGTCTCAGCTCCTCATCCTCATAACCTATGTTCATCCACTTGTCCCTCATTATGTTCTGTGAAGTTAAAAGAATGAGAGAGAATGAAACTGGGCGAGAGAGAGAGAGAGAGAGAGAGAGAGAGAGAGAGAGAGAGAGAGAGAGA